AAGCTACAGATGTATATTCTAATGTTTTCTTAGAAGAGATTTCTAAAACAGGTTACAGCAATATATACCAAGAAAGTCAAGAAACTTAATCTAAAAACTTGACACTGTCATTCATTACAATCTTCTTCATTTTTTAATGTTTCTATAGTAAACATAACTTGTAGAAAAACTGGAAAGAAAAAAACAACTTAGGTAATCCTTTTTGTCTTTTTTAAAGTAACATTAGTCACATAATAATGCTCATAATAATCCTCACCCTCCTCATAAGGCCTATGTCAATCTCCCTTACCCATTCTATCCCAGCCTTATTCATAAAACATTTTGGAAAGAAATGGATAGTACAAACAGCCAGACAAAGAAGGAAACTGGGCTTTGAAAGATAATATAAACCAACTAGACCTAATTGACATACATAGAACTCTCCCCCACAAAACCATAGAATCCACATTCTTCTCAGTTACAAAAGGGAACATTCTCCAGGCAACAGCATAAGTCTTGATAACATTTAAGCTGTATGAGCACGTTCTCTAAATAATGAAATGAAATTAGAAATCAAAAACCAAAGGAAAATTGGAAAATTCACAATTATGAAAAGTAACACACTGTTCAACCACCAGTAAGTTGAAGAAGAAATACAAAGGGAATTACAAAATATTTTGAGATGAATGAAAACAAAACCACAAGATACTAAAGCAGATGGATTGTAATGAAAAAAGTGTCCATGGGAGATATACACTTATCAATACCTATATTAAAAAAAAGAATAAAGATGTCAAATCAATACCATAAATTCACGACTTAAAGAGAAAAAAACAGTAAGCTAAATGCAAAGCTAACAGGAGGAAGAGAATAATAAAGACTAAAAAAAATGTAAAATAGAAAACAATGATGAATAAAGTTGAAGCTGATTCTTTAAAAAGATCAGCATGATTGAAAAAAATTAGCTAGACAGAAGAAGAAAGAGAAGATACAAAAAATCTAAGTCAGAATGAAAGTGGGGCCATTATTAATCCTGCAGAAACAAATATTATAAAAGAATACTATGAACAATTATATGCAAAGTAGATAACCTAGATTAAATGGACAAATTCTTCAAAATAGAGAAATAATCAAAACCAATGCCAAAAGAAATAGAATAACTGATCAGACCTATAACATAAAAACAGATTGAATCAGGGATGGGGTTGTGGCTCAGTGGTAGCACACTTGCCTAGCATGTGTGAGGCACTGCGTTCGATTCTCAGCACTGCATATAAATAAATAATAAGGGTCCAACAACAACTAAAAAATAATTAAAAAACAAGAGATTGGATCAGTAATCAAAAACTTCTACTAAATATTTAAAAAATCAACACCAATTAAGGGGTCGGGGGATCTAGAAATACTTCCTAACTCAGAATAAGGGGCCAGCATTACCCTGATATCAACACCAGACAAAAATATCCCAGGAAAAGAAAACTACAACCAATATCTCTTATAAATATGGATGCAAGAGAATGTTCAACAAAATACTACCAAACCAAAACTAGCCACACATTAAAAAGACTACACAACATGACCAAATGGAACTTCTCTTAGGAACACAAGGATGATTCAACATATGAAAAAAAAATCAATCATTGTAATATACCACATTAATAGAATGAAGGGAAAAACAAAATCATGATTATCTCATTAGGTACAAAAAAAAACAAACCAAAAAACATGAGAAAACCCAAAACTCTTCTATGACCAAATAAAAAACACCCAAAACAAACTCTTAGGAACACAAGGATGGAAAGAGGAAACTTCCTCAACATGGAAAAGTATACTTATGAAAAACTGATGGCTAGTATTATACTAGATGTTGAAATACTAAGATTATCCCAAGATCAAGATCAACACTCTACTTGACATTTTAGACAGAGCAATTATGCAAGAAAAATAAATAAAAGTTGCGTAAACTAAAAAGAGAAAAACTACCTTTATTCACAGATGACATGATTTTATATACAGAAAATCCTAAAGAACCCACCAAAAAAAAAATCTATTAATGCTCACAAACAAATTCAGCAAAGTGTCAGGATATCAGATCAACATTAAAATTTGATTGTATTTCTATACAATAGCAATGAACAACCTAAAAAGGAAACTTAAAAAATAATTCTAGGACCAAGGATAGAACTCAGCAGTAGAATGCTTGCCTCACATACATAAAGTTCTAGGGGTTGATCCCCAGAACCGTCTCCCAAAAAATTATATTTATGACTGCACACAAAAGAATAAAATTTTAAAAGAATAAAACAATAAAATGTTAACAGTAAAAGGATCAAATACATAAAAAAATTTAAAAGGAATAAACATAACTAAGGAAGTGTAAGTTGTACACAGAAAACTAAAAAACACTGCTAAATGAAATTAAAGATAAATGGTAAGACATTCTATGTTGATGGACTAAAGATTTAATATTGTTAAGGTAGCAATATACGCCGGGTGTGGTGGCACATGCCTATAATCCCAGTGGCTAGGGAGGCTGAAACAGGAAGATCACGAGTTCAAAGCCAGCCTCTGCAACAGCAAGGCACTAAGCAACTTACTAAGCAACCTACCCCCCTACAAAAAAGATAGCAATATTCACCAACTCAATCTACAGATTCAATGCCAGCCCTATCAAAACTCCAATGGTATTTTTTTGTGGTGGAAAAGTAGCTTCTACTGGGAGCAGTGGTGAGTACCTGTAATTCCAGTGACTCTCGATGAAGGAGGATCCTGGGTTCAAAGCCACCCTCAACAATTTAGCAAGGCCATTAAGCAACTTAGTGAGACTCTGTCTCAAAAAAATAAAATAAAAAAAGCTGGGGATATGGCTCAGTGATTAAGCACCTCTGGGTTCAATCCCTGGTACCAAAAAAAAAAAAAAAAGAAGAAGAAGAGAAGCAGATTCTGAAGTCCATTTGTAATTCCAAGGGACCTGAATTACATTTTTTAAAAGAAGAAAAGGTCAAGGATTCATACTTTGAGATTTCAAAACTTACTACAAAGCTATAGTAATCAAAAGAGCATAAAATTATTCTAAGAAGAAACATCTAGAGGAATGTAACAGAATTGACAGCTCAGAAATAAATTCATATATGGTTAACTGATTTTTGACAAAGATGCCAACAGCATTTACTGGAAAAGAATAGTCTGAGAAAACTAAACATCCACATGCAAAAAAATGAACTTGGAACCTGACCACAAACCACAGAGATTAACTCAAAATAAACAAAGGGCTTTAAATGTAAAAGCTAACACCATAAAAATATTAAAAGAAAACACAGGGGCAAATCTTTATGATCTGAGATTTGGAAATGAATTTTTATATATAACACCAAAACCACAAGCAACTAGAGAGGAAAAAAATTGGAATTCATCAAAAATTAACTTTTACGTATCAAGAGATACTATCAAGAAAGTAAAAAGACAACCTACAAGACGGAAGAAAACATTTGACCACTGTGTATTTGATAAGGGTCTAGCATCCAGAATACATACACACACACACACACACACACACACACTTACATATCCACAACAGACAACCAACCCAATTATTTAAATAGGCAAAGGACTTAAATAGACATTTCTACAAGAGAGATAAATGGCCAATGAGCACATGAATAGATATCACTAGTCATTAAAGAAATTCAAATCAAAACCACAATGAGATACCACTTCACACCCACTAGGATGGCTATTAATGAAGGAAACAGAGACTAACATGTTACCAAGGAAGTGAACAAATGGCTGGTGATAATATAAAATGGTGTCACTGCTGTGGAAGTTTGGTGGTTCTCCAAAAATGTTAAAGGTGGAATCACCACATGACAAAGCAATTCCACTTCCAGGCATAACAAATATCTGTACATAAATGTTAAAAGCTCACTATTCACAATAATCAAAAGATAGAAACTACCCAAATGTCCATCGATAAATGAATGAAAAAACAAAATATGCTAGGTACATGCAATGGAATATTATTCAGCCATAAAAATGAAGTACTGACACATACTACAACATGAATAAACCTTGAAAACATTATGTTAAGCAGAAGAAACCAGATGTCACATATTGCATGATTCCATTTACATGAAATATCCAAAAAGCAGTTAAATCCACACAGGCACAAGCAGATCAGCTATTTCCAGGGGCTGAAATAGTAACTGCTTAATGAGTAGGAACGACTCCTTGGGAGCAAGAGAAAATGTTTGGAACTTGAAAGAAGTAATAGTGCACAACAGTGTGAATGCACTAAACGCTACTGAATTGTACACTTGTAAAACAGTTCTTTTTTTTCCAGTAGAAAAAATGAATGGAACCCAGAGATGCTCTACCACTAAATCACATCTCCAGTCCTTCTTATTGTTTTATTTTGAATCAGGGTTTTGCTAAGTTGACCAGTCTGACTTCAAACTTGCAATCCTCCTGCCTCAGCCTCCCAAGTCACTATGGATTTTTACAGGTGCACCACAATGCCCAGAAAAACAGTTAATTTTATGTTATGTGAGTTTTATAGAAGAAAGGAAGTTAGGAAAGAAGGAAGTTGGAATTTTGAAGTCAGGCAGAAAGCTGAAGGAAGGAAAGGAGGGAGGGAGGAATGGAGTTGGAGAGCAGAAGGTTCAGAGGTGCCAGTACCCACAACACAGGCAAGGACAGGGCAGTCACTGGTGTGGCTGAAGAACACAAGTATCAGTCTCAGCAATGTCCCTTAGGAGACTTGCTGGTATTGTTCCCACCCATTTCCTCCTCCACACACTACATCTCAGACCCACTTGACCTATATGTTTTATTATATAAAAACAAACTGGAATCATCCTCTTCAATCTCCTCTCCTGAAGCAAGACCTAATTTAAGCAATAAACACAAGGTGCTTTCTCTTCCCTGGAACTAACTGTAAACCAGTCCCACGTGCTTTAGAGAAACAAGGAAATTGCATATTAAGTGCAAAACACCAGCTTATAAAAGGAATGGTTCTCCTTCACCTTTGCAAGTTCTCTTCTCAGCTCTTCTTGCTCCTCTTCTGAGAGGGTCTCTGTGGCACTGAGCGTGGCTGCAACATCTTCTCCTTCCTCGGGTACTGTGGGTGTCCTCAGCAGACCTTGGGGATAAAAAAAGAAAGAGAAAAGTCTGTCAATTATGAAAGGTCAGTAGAATTCTCCTTTGGGTTGCTCCGCTAAACCAGCCAGAATAAAGTCAATTAGGTTAGATCCACACATCACCTCTCTGTACCTTCAAATGACCTGGCTCTCCCAGTAAAAGACAAGAGTAAAGTCTGGGCTAACCACTAAAACCACCAACTTAGACTCTGCCAGAATATGAATTTAGAAAATACAAGCTTCTGCTCACATTCTCAGTCACCATACAGCTTGGACAGAGCAGAAGAGAGGCTGAGAATGGGATCTTCACAGGATAAGATGCTACATTAGCAAATCAGCATAAACGATATGAAAGATTTTAGCCCCTGGAAGAAGACTGTACACAACGTTAGCTTCCTGTGATGATCAAACCCAACATTCAGAAACCTCAGGGATGGGGAGGTAGCTCAGTGGTAGAGCACTTGCCTAGGATGTGTGAGGTCCTGGGTTCCATCCCCAGCACCACCCAAAGAAAAGAAAAACAGTGAAGAATCAACCATGGGATGAACTTAAAGCCCTGAAGAAATTCTATTCCTTCCATTTCTTTCCTTGTAGCTCAGGGTTAGAGTACTCTTGAGTTCAATCCTCAGTACGAGGGATCCAGATACTCTTTAAAAAGCATACATACAAATACACACACACACACAAAAACACAGACTTTTCACATTATCATTATTTAAAGCCAAATCAGTTGCACCCATTCCCCTGGAACAGAGCCCACTAGACGAGCTCTGTATCTGGATCATGGCCAGGAAGGCAGCTGCCCCTCTGCTCTCCCCTGTCTTCTTGCTCAATTCTCATCCAAAGGCGAAGATGAGGCCAGCAAGATCCTAAACCTTAAGTGCAAAATGGAAGTGAGCACCAAAAAAACTCAATACAAATAATATTGTAATGCAGTTTTAAAATCAAAATTAATTCAAAAAAATCCATGACAAACAAAATACCCAAATTTAAATAGGATCCGTACTGCTGATTTTCTCCTCTTGCCTCGGGCTCCCAAATGGCTCTACATGGACAGCACTGTTACTGACCATGACTTTAAAATTTTAATATTCTGTCCATCAGAGATTTTGTTTGCATTAAGTTTGATGTTTTAAAAACACTGTATTAACATATCTGATTGCTGAGTTTTGGGCACCCACTTAAACATCTCCACCTGAAGCAAGCACTCACGGGCCTCCTGCTTACCCAGACTATGGTCCACCCACCCGTTCCCATGTTGCAGATTTGAGATTTCATGATTTTCTGTAGCAGCATTTTTTTTTTTTTTTTTTTTGCATGGAGGACCAGAGGAAGCTTCCCTCTGTTTCTATTCTTCTTTTTCTGCCAGTGAGTGTCATAGCCGCTGCATTTTTCCCCTACCACCTTCCACTCCCATGTCTGAGAAGGGATTGTTCAGTCCTATCATCATGTGGCACCTGCCCAAAGCAAGATGCCAGGCAGCAGATGAAGGACTTAACAGGCAGGCAGGCAGGCAGGCAGAGAGGAAAAAGAGCTATAATGTTGAAAAAGCTGCCTTCATCATGGCAAACATGAGAAAAGTAAAGGAGCCAACGTGACAATGTGTATGAACATTGCATACACATTACAGAGGGACCTGATAGTCTCTGTTGTATAATAACTGTTTAGTAACAAGAGTCACCAAGGTGAAGTACCAAAACAGTGCCTACCTGGAAGGTGTTTACAGAATTGTTAATACAAATAAAACAATTCCAAAACCACAAATTGGACTGACAAATAGAATATGAATAAGCTCTCAAATGCACACACGATACTTCAAATGTATGATCAGCCAGTAGAAGAGCTCAATGAATAATGGCTTCTGTACATTTCCTCTAAAATATCCTGAATGGACTACTTAAGTAACATTTCCATTATAGAAGTCAGATCATGTTACTCTCCACTTGAAATCTTCCAGCAGTTTCTTATTGTTTTAGCCTAGCCCCTTAGGTCAGCACCCAGGCCTTTACCAGATGCCATCTCCTGCTTCCTGGAATTGGCACCTCTTACAACAATGCCAGCCAAACCAAATTGTGAAGAGGCACTGTGCCCTGTACTGTCAGAAACCACTTCCGAGATCTGTGTGCACTTGGAAATTCACCCTCCACGTCAGACTGTGTGACAAAGGGAGTATGAGATTGAGGATAGGAGGCAAACACACAAGGAGCCATCAGATATGGCAGCACAGAAAGAACTAACAGAACTGCCTATAAACAATACTTTTCTTTTATTATTATTTTTTTAGTATATGTGCAGCCAAAACAAACACTAAACATTATTTTAATGCTCTACTCAGAGCTCCCAAGTTCTCAACTACAAGAGGAGCCCAAAACAAAATAAGAAAAAATTCAGGTGCTAAGCCATGTCTTAAAACAGAAAAAACTCTCCCATGCTTTTGAATAAACAATACTTTTCAAATCAACTTCAAGGGGTAAATATATTATCTAGCTGCTAACGATGTTTTATATGTACTGCCCAATTCAGGAAGACTGTAAAGGGATTCAGATATAGGTTGAGCACTTCTAATCTGGAAAACAAAACTTGATGCTCAAAAAGCTACTGAATTTAAAAGCATGCATGATTTTAGATTTTCAAATTAGGGATGCACAATTGGTGAAGTCTATGCAACCCAAAATCCTAAAAACTCCAAAATCTGAAATACTCTGGCCCCAAGAATTTCAAATAAGGAATACCCATATTTACCTATGTATTATTTAAATATTCCATTAGGCTTCCAAGGAAAACAAAGAGGTGGTATTATTCATATTTGGTTCAGGACCACCTAGATAACATGGAAACATATTTGGCATCTAAGAAGCTGGTAATGGCCAGGTGTGGTGGCAGACACTTGAAATCCTGACTATTTGGGAGACTGAGGTAGAAGGATTGCAAGTTAGAGGCCAGCCTGGGAAACTTAGGAAGACCCTGTCTCAAAAATAAAAAGGGCTGGGATGTAGCACAATGGTAGAGTATCCCTGCGTTCAGTTCCCAGTACCAGGAGGAAAAAAAGAGATGAGAAATGATGTGTTCTGCTTTTCCCACAGGAGCCTGTAGGTGGCAGCAAATCATCAATATTTTTGAAGGTTTGTTTTTAGATAATCAGCTGGAAAAAGAAAATGAAAATAAAGAACATTTAAAAAAAAAAAAAACAGAATGGTAGATCCCAAATAACCAAAATAACCAGCAAAATGTGCCTCAGGAGTGTTACTAACCATACATACCAACACACGTGCATCCTATTTATATCCAAATCTGAGCTAAAGAGTCCAAAAATATTCATTTACCTGCAACGTTTCTGTAAGGTGGGGAAAACTACCACCATTTACAGATGAGGAAACAAAAGTTCACAGGGGAGAAGTAACTTGCCCAAGCTCACACACCTGAATGAGTGGTGGAGTTAGGGTTTTGAACAGAGTCAGTCTGATTTGAAAACAGATGTTTCAATTCACTGATGTGAAAACACATAAGACACAAGTAGGAAGCTGGCAGCCAGGCTTGGAAGATATCTGGAAGCAATAATAATAAAACTAAAAACATAAAAGACTCTGGCAACTAGATCAAAACCAGTCTTCATCACTTCCAACTCTATGGTTTTCAAATTTGCCTTATGTATTTTCTCAATATTAGCTTGCTTCCTATGTGCTCAGTAATACCTCAATATCTAAGATGGAAGAAGAATCTAGCTTACAAGCCAATTTCACATTCAACATGAGAGGTGAGAAATGAGGATATTTTAAAGTATTGCTTAAAACTATAAATAATCCAAAAATAAACTTACTTATTAATTTTAATGTTTCTTCTCAGAATCTGATGGAAAGCTGTTTTTAAATGATGGGGCAGGGAGGGGACTGGGGATGTAGCTTAGTGGTAAGAGTGCTTGCCTAGTTATTTAAGAAGCCCTGGGTTAAATCTGCAGTACCCCCTCCTTCCCCCCAAAAAAAGATGAAGGGGGTAATTAACATTAGTATAATATTTATTGAAGTTTAATACACCAGCTACTCTGAGGGGACATTTTTACATGGGCAAAGATTCTTTGCTTGACCAAACTTCAGTCAGGCCTTTGAACTCTTCCTAGGCTCATCTGTGCACTTTCTTGTAAAATCTAGTTTTAGCAAAAGAACCCTGCTAAGTCAGTTTAGCCAGAATCCACATCCTTGATATCTGATTTACCTTGACATCTGATTAGGTGCCTCATCCTCCACCACCCGCAGCCTTCAGCAAGAATCCTGTTGGGTTGGTTTAGCCAGAACCTGCTTTACCCCTAACCTCTTAGTGATTTTTCCATCCACAGACCCCCACGCTATAATAATAATATATATAATAATAAATGACTATAAATTCCCATTTGCCCAGGCTGAATTCAGAGTGGAGCCAGTCTCCCTCCCCCAGTATAAGACCCCCCAGTGCAGTGGTCCCTACATCTACCTTGATGGTCTTGGATAAAGTCTTTCACACTGTGCTTTAAAACAAGTATCACTGAATATTTTTTCTCTAACATGTAGTCTCATTAAAACAGAAAAACCTTACAACCATTCATCACCTGATGAGAGGACTACTATTTATTTCTACCAGAAACCTGAGATCCCCTGAGGGTATATAATTTACCCAGATTCACAGAAGCAAGATAAAAACTGAGGGTCCTCCTGACACTTAAACTCTTGCCTTTCACATTTTTTTCTTAGACATATACCTTTTTGTCTATGTGTACTCCCCAATTCAGGAAGAATCTAAAGGGATTCAGATACAGGTTGAGCACTCCTAATCTGGAAAACAAAATTTGATGCTCAAAAAGCTATTGAATTTTAAAGCCTGCATAAAGGAAACAGGGCCAATTCTTTCTCCACAGAGACTCCACATTACATCACTGGTGTTATGGTTTGGATGTGAGGTGTCCCCCAAAAGCTCATGGGTGAGACCATGAGAGAGGGTTCAGAGGGGAAATGATTGGATTGTGAGAGTCTTT